CGCCCCGATTCGTGCGGACACCGACAGCTGCGTCGAGCTCTTCTGCGTCATACTCTGGCCACATGGAAGTTGGGCAGAGCTGCCACTACTGGCGTGATGCTCGACCTTGTCAAGATCAGGTGGCGTGGCCCTGCTGTTGCGGCCATGCGAGAAGACGACCAGCAAGGTAAGCCGACTGTCTACTGGCTGGTTCATGGCACCAACTTGCTTCGAGCTGCACCTGGCTGTGCTCGGTGACCTTGACCAGCTCTCCGCATGAGCCATGCTCTCGATGCTCTACGCAACCTTTGTGGTCGGGGAGTGACCCCGTTTTGGGATCAGCAGTTCAACCAAGGCCGTCGAATCGAAGAAGTTGGGTCCGATGAGGAGGCCATGGATGATCACAACGACCAACCTCTCGACATGTCTGCAAAAAGGTTTCAGAGCCTCCACAGCAACGTTGAACGCCAATTCCTTTGCCAGCGCGCATTTGCTGCAATGCATCTTTCAACTCATCCATTTGGAAATGAGGTGTCCCACTGAAGGTCCCAAAATTCTCATTCATTTCTTGTGTCAAAGCGACCGCCCCTGGATCGCAAATCCCACTGGCACGGCAACGAGAACACGCAGCCTTCCAAAACACTGCGCCTGCGCAGCGAAACGACACGTCGAGCTTGAGAAGCTACGATTTGCGCACAGGGCCAATGAAAACAGCACTTGCCGATCCATCAAAAACACGCATCGACGACGAATCCCAATGGCACACGCTTATCGCCTGACCGCGAACGGTTTCGGACGGTTGCGGACGGTTGCAAACTCTGGAACAACTCCTGACGAACACGGCCTCCACCCCCAGACCCCCACTTATAAACGGGAACCCTTCGCTACGCATTCGGGGAACACCAAAAACACGTACGCTCAAATCTTTATCCTTGGCCTCGCGGCGCTGCTGTAATTGTTGGAAGTTGGCATGCTGCCACGGTTCAGGCATTTCCTCGTGAACATTCCTCGCAGTTGCCGGCAGCGCCGCTGAAAGAAGCACATGTTCTAATTGTTTGATGGTGTGAGGTTTCTTCTTGGCAAACACATGTTGTAGAGCCTGTTGATATTCAGATAGAATTCCCGGCTTCCGCATGCTGGAAGCGCAGTTGGCGTCGTCCACCACGAGTAGTCTTGAGTCTTGAGTGAAAAACTTGCATGTACCGCTCTGTGGTCGGATCCGGTGTCAAGAAAAAGGAGTTGCAAAGGCAGCTGCGTGTAGGATGAAATCTAACCCCTGTCTGCAAAAGGTCCAATCGTTTTCATTAGTAGGCTTGGCAATGTTCAAGGCAAACATATGCGACAATTCATCAAGTAAGCCTCCACGTTTGCCAATATGCAATTGTGTATTGAAATCGCCACCAGTGATATGCAATTTATGCCTTGGCGCGCACCGCTTTTGCTAACGTTTCACTCAAGGGGGGGCGCTTTCGCTGACGTTTCACCCGAAGAACAGCTGAAAAAATAATATTCCCCCCCCCCCCCCCCCCATGATTGGTGGTCTGGCTCGTCTGTGTTGTGTGTGCTTTTTCTTCTTTGCCTCAGCCGTCAGCTAGATGTTTTGGTGCAACGGTGGCGGGGCCTCCTTGGCGGAGCAAATTCTGGATGGTCCCTGTCGCCAACCACGGGCACAAAAGCAATCCTCTGGGTAAGATTTGGTTGCGCAAGCAAAGGCAAAGAGCGTGTTTTTTTCCTCACGCGCCTTTTGGACCCCACGACGGCCCATGCAGGGGGCGGTCCGGCCGCACGGGCGAGAGCCAAACACCAGCCCAACGTTTTCGAGATCGAACGCATCCGAACCAAAACCAAAGCACGCGCTGCCAGGGACCATCGTGCTCAGCAACCTGCAGTTTGAAGCGGCCAGCCCTGCGCGCAGGCGAAGCCAGCATGACATCGCAGCAAAAGGCTTCGCCAAGGCAAGTGGCGCGGCGATCATCTGCGGCGACCCCAGGCGCCATCGTGTTTGTGAGCCACTGCTGCGGCGCTACACGAGCCTCCAGGCGCCTCGCGCGCGACGCGAACCCAAGCTCGCTCGATGAGTGGGGCGGCGGAGAAGACCGCTGCGAGGACATGCTGCTCAGCAGCCTCGGCGTTAACGGGGAAGCCGGGGAAGCAACCCGCGCATGTGGAGTCAAGGTTACCCGTGCAGGAACGAACGTGCACGTGGGCGTGAGGCCAATCAGCCCGGGCTCGCCAAGGAGGAGTCCCACGTAGCGTAGTCGTGGGCCGAGTGTCCCTGCCATCAAAAAAGCGATGTCATGCGCAAAAATCGCACAGCACCACAACGTAAACATTGTTGAGCACAAACCCTCAATTTAAACCAACCGAGAATGCCTAAGCCCTCACCGCCCGCCCCCCCGCCCCCAACCAAGCCACACCAACACTAAGCCACCCTCAGCCACCCTGAGCCCCTAACAAGACCACAACAAACCAGCACTAAAGCCATCCCAGTACCTAAAGCTCAGCCAAACTAAAGCCAACCGAACCCGCTTGAACAAACCCCAACCCACCTCTAAACTTGCCCTCAACAAGCCCCCCATTGAGCCCACCCTACCCCCCAGCCCAACACAAAGCGACCTGGCGTTGCTGAGAATGCTGAAAACGATGCCGGCGCAAAACAAGTGCAGCTTGCTTGAACATGCTGTAAACTCCAGCACCGGGAGTGAAAACAAGCAAATCCCGAGAAAAAAAACAATCCCGAATTCAATCTAATTCAATTTGAGCATCAATTCAAGGTTTGGTTGCTGGTGTCGACGACGGCAAGGGTTGAAAGTCAACCATGGACTTGTGTAGCTGTTGTGGATCCAGTAAGCCCGCAGTGGCTGGCGAAGAAGAGCATGGTGCGTCGCGACGGGAAAGTTATGAAGGAGACGGCCCAGCCAGCTTATCGCTTGGAAGCTTTCAAGCGCACCAGGCTGTGCAAATTTCATTTGAGTGGCAATTGTGTTCGTGGAACCTCTTGCAACTTTGCCCACAGCGTCGAGCAGATCAGGGACCAGCCGGATTTCTCAAAAACACGGCTGTGCGTCGATTTCTCTGCAAGCAAATGGTGTCGAGATGGTGCATACTGCAAGTTTGCTCATGGAGACAATGAACTTCGAGCGCACCCATCCGCGAAGCGCAAGGACAATCAAGCCGCAGATGCTCAGGTGCCGCCGTTGAAGTCTTCCACATGGGTTCCCACACAGGAGCCATCGTTGAAGTCGTCAACATGGGCTTCCTCCGAGGAGCAGCCGTTGAAGTCTGCAGCATGGGTTGCCCCTCAGGAGTGGTATTACATGCCGGAGGCCATGGAACCAATGATGTACCCGTGGCTTCCCTACTTGGAGTACCAGTTTGCTCATGAAGAGGTTGGCTGGGATGCGACCAGCCAGCTGAGTGCGGAATGGAATGAATGGAACGAATGGAATCCGGCTTCCAGCAACAACAGCACCACTTGCACGGACAGTCCGGTTCAGAGTTTTTTGGCTGCACAGTATTGCGTGGCATGTTTTGCCCTCAGCTCAGGCATTGTGTGGTTCTTAGTTTGCTACCTCCCCAAGGTCATGTTGTCTCCAGTGTGCCTGACAGCCCGCTTTTGGATCATTTCGAGCTCCCGGAGTGCGCTCTCTTTCATGATGAGCCTCTTGGCAATCAAGACCCTAGCACAGTGTTCCACGCCGTGGCTTTGCTTTGCTCCAATACTGGCCAAGCCTTGCAGTCTGTGCGTCATGGTCTGTTTCTGGGAACTGGGCTTCCATGCTCACAGTAGGGCTGCCAAGCCTTAGGGTGCGCGTGAAGAATACGTTCCTGCACATCGACGTTGACGAGTCTGAAGATGAGGCTGGGAGCTCAAAGCACTTGACACGCTTGACAGCCTTTCCCATACTTCATTGCATGAGCCGCTTGGTCAGTGGTCGAGCGGGTGTTTGCAGCGTGCTTGTAGGACGAACCGTTCGCTTCCCGGTCCATGCGGAGATCCCCAAGTGCGCCTTGCCGCCTGGCTGCCCTTGGTGGACGCTTGGCTGCACGAAGTGATGGAACACAATAAGTCCATATGTCTCCAACATGGAGATCACGAGCGCTGACGCACTATATGCAACACAGAGTCGTTGTGTGCATGTTTCGTTGGGCAAAATGGTTCGACTTGAAGGTTTTGCCAGTGTCATATTCTATTTTACCTCCCCCGCCCACAGCAGCGAAAGAAAGAAGCAGAGAGAGAGAGAGAGAGAGAGAGCGACACAGATAGAGCTGACGATGTTGACCTCGTGCAGCCTTCAGGACATGACTGATGCTATGCCACGAGAAGAAGGCTGTTGCAGTTTTGATGGGTATTCCAGAGCTGGCATTCACCGACACTATTTTTTTGAAGCCAGACTTTCAGTGACACATCACTTTCTCCATGCCTTCCAACATGTCACTACAGCGATCTTTTTGGTGCTTAGTTGGTAGCAGGAGAGGCTGTACATAGCAAAATTCAGCGGAGGAAGCCCACGCCTTGCTTTGCAAAGCAGGTTGTGCACAAGGCACCGCCGAGCTGCCCAATTGGTGGAAGTTACAGACTATTTGGAAGCTACGTGGTGGCAGCACAGGCAAAGCAAGGGCATGCATGTCATGTAGAGAGACCTTCTCACACAGTTCCAGTCGTTTGAAACATGGAATTCTCGGCCGCGTTATGAACAAAAGCTTTGCGGGCATATATGCAGTGGACGGAACCTTGGTCCACAGTTGATTTGTCATTTTCAATTTTCCGAATCTCAGCGATTTGCATGCAGCCTTTGGCCTTTTGAGAAAGCAAGAAGCCCCAAAGGGGTGAAGGATTGATCCAGGGCAGCAGCTGCAAATCCATCATAATCCATCGCTCTTCCCAACTGGCATAGCATAACAGGGACATATCCGGCTGAAGTGACTTCCTTGCGCTTGTCCTGAACATTTCAGCAGAACCCAACACTTGAAGTTGGTTTCATTTGGATGATGAGGGTTTATACACGTCTTACTCAAGCGTGGGCCCTTGGAATTTCGAGCCATCCGCCACATCCGTGCTGGTCCTTTGTGATCATGCGTCGGGTTCCTCGTCGCAATGTGCGCTGCTCATCCAGCCGGCATCAACTTTGACGCTGTCAGCGAGCCGATCATTTTCTTGGGGAGCGGTGCCTTCGGCGAGGTGTCCTTGGTGCAAGTCGTCTCAGAGGCGCGTTTGCCCACGTCAATTGGAACAATTAGACAGTTCACAGATTGAGGAGAGTCAGGGGTTGACGCAAATTGTTTTGTTTGCGGACGGCACGTGAAGGATTTGCTTGAAGTTTTTACCTGGGTGGTGGGCACAAAAGTTAGCGAAAACGGAAGTGTTGCCCGCACTGCCAGCTTTCAGTCCGCCCTTTCTAAAGTTCATTTGCTGGCATCCTCTTTCTCCGGTCCCTGGCTACACTGCGAGCGCGGAAGGATTCCAAAACAGAGACTAGGACTGTGTGCGAGGTAGCGCTGCCACATGTAGTCGCAACGGTAGCTTGACCCCTTTAGTTCGCTGGCAGGCACCGGATGCCGAGTTTCTGGCACTGAGCTGTGGTTGCATTATGTCATTTGCATGGCCGATAGAATTTGGTGTCAAGTTTTCGCACGCTGTTCCCGCTCGTGTTTTTGAAGCAAGTTGCAGTAGTTGAGATGTTTGTGTCAATAGCTGTTTTAACGAGCAGGCAAGAGGGTGAGCGAGAGAGGGAAGGCGGGAAGGAGGCAGCGTGTGCGTGCTCGAAAGGCTGAGTGGGTGAGTGAGTGAGCGAGGGAGGGGGGGCAAGTTGGCGAGACAGCGAGTGATCAATGTAAGGAAGCGGGTGCGCTTGCAAACTTCTGAAGCCGGCATTGAACAAGCAAAACTGGAAGCGCGGCTGTTGCTGCAGCTAAGCCAGGATGGGATGGGGCTTAGCATTGTCACGCAAAGGGTCTGCCACTGGCAGGAAAATGCTGGTATTCTGAGATGCTTCGACTTCCGAATGCAGACACGTCCAGTGCCAACACTTGAGCTGTTATTGGAGCTGTTTGGCTGCAGGGATTTTGCTAAGTTGTGGCTCAGTTTGAGGCATTCCTTAATCAGGGGGGAAGGATTGCGAAGAAGTCGTGCCTTTTCCCAAATCGCATAGGAACTGTCTTACAATCCTGTGGGCCTTTGTGCATCCGGGCGAAGGCCTTGACAAAGGTTTGTTTCGTGTTTTGGCCTTGAAGGTCGAAGCTTTGACTGACCTGAACAGGGCACGGTCAATCTGTAGCAATTGACCGGTAGCTATTCCAACATTGCAAGCTTATGTGACGTGCAAGGTTTGCTCCATTGGGCGATCTCTGCCGCCGATTGCGCAAGTGCAAAGAGGCCAGCTGCTGCATGACTTGCATGACCAACCCTAGGCACTCTGTGTCCTCAGGGGTTGACGCCGTTGGGCCCGAATTCATGTCCAGTGCAGTTCCGGTTGAGCTTTGAGTTCAGCCGTGCAGGCTGGACCAGATTGGCCCGGGCTTCCCGAAGTGGAAGTGGCGGGGTATGCCTGCGATGTGGCCAAAGGTCTTGCCTTTTTGCCGCTTGGTGCAAATACTTCAGAACCTCGCAGAAAGTGATAATACGGCATCCCAGGCACAGCTTGCGGCCAAAGGTTTTTCACAGAGATGTGAAGCCTGCAAATATTATGTGCCCTGGACGGCAGGCGTGCTTTTTGGTGCGCGCGTTTGCAGCTTTGCCTGCCAGCTGATGCATTCCTCAGGCTTTTCTACCCTGCTGAACCTACTCGAACAATTCCTCAAGCCAAGCTGGCAGACTTTGGTGTGGCCAAGGTCGGGCAGCCCAGGTACTATTTGTGAAGAGTCTCTTGAGGCTTTGAGCTTGTTCGTGATTCTGCAGCCGGGCAGTGGAGAGATGTGCGATCCAAGCTGCCATGCTGGGTATGATGCTCTGAAGCGAACGTCTTGCTGTGACACCATCGCATTCATTTGGGCAGTGAAGCGGGTTTGCGGGTGGCGGGGCTCCTTACTCTGTGCTGGATGGTGGAGGGACGTGAGAACATTTGCACTCGTCTGCTTTGTTGTTTGTTGTGTTTGGTGGGGGGAGTGGGCGGTGGGTGACAAGACCGTTGCCCCATTAGCTTCTTTTTTGGGGCGGGGGGGGGGGGGGTGGGGGGTTGTCCGGGCTGGACTGTTTTGCTGCACACTGCCGTTACACAGTGCCCAGACACATGCTTTGCCTTTTTATGGACTGGCTATTTGAACTTTCGCGGTTTGTTTGGGCTGGACTGAATTCCATTGGCTTAGATTGCCATGTGGATGTTCCTTGTTCGAGCCTGGGGGCACGCGGTGGAGAGGTTCTAAGGTCTAAGGAGTCTAAGGGTTGTTAGATTGGTTCCAGATGGTTCCAGAGGGTTCCGCAGAAGCGGTCAGCAGTGCGTTAATCATTGCCCTAGGTCGGTGGCGCAGCTCCCGCATGCCTGGGTCAAGAGTACAGTATTGGTTTGACTGTCAGAAACGAAGGGGCCTTTTTTAACCTGTCCGCGTGCATACAGGTTGGACCTGTGTGTCTGTTTGTGTCGGTTGTTTGTCATGTTGCCGGCCAGGTCTTGGAATCAGAAGCTTCAAGCGCTGGAACTGCAACGTTTGTGGGTACACCTCACTATTTGGCACCGGAGCTGTTCAGTGGAGACATGTATGACGAGAGAGCTGATGCTTGGGCATTGGGCTGTGTTCTCTATGAGATGCTGTGCTTCTGCCGGCCATTCCATCAATCAGAGAAGAATATCGCCCTGATGTCTCTGCGGATTTCTCAAGGCTCATATGATGAAGACCTTCTCGAAGAGCAGCTCGCTCACTATCCGCTGGAGCTACTTGACGCCACCAGAGGCCTGCTACAGCTGGAGCGAGCCAAGCGGCTGCGAGCGGCGGAAGTCGTCGCCGAAGTCGCGGAGCTTGGGTCTTCTGTTGACACTCGGTCTCTTCCAACCTGCTGGGATGCATTGCAAACGCAAAGGAGGCCATCTGTAGCTTCATGTGAAGGCACCCAGGCCGAGAATCCAGGCACCGATAGCTGGCGCGATGCTGAAGTGCAATCGAGCAGCACCTTGGCGGCAGTGCCAGTGCGCACTCGATAGATAGATATGAGCGGTGAGACTTTGTGAGATCTGATTTCGGAGAAGCAAAGGTCCAGCTATTCTGTTGCACGCAGCTTTGGAGCCAGAAGATTCTCCATACACCTTTTTTCCTCATGACGACCGTGATCAGGCAGCCCCTGCATCCAGTTTGCGCCGCGCAGGAATATATATATATATATACATTGGACATAGTGTTGCTTTGCCTGGCTAGACGTTTCAAGCGGAACTGTTTGACTACTCCCGGCTCGCAGGCTCTGACTCTTCCGCCCCATGACGAGTCACGTTTGGGGGGCTTAGACATCCTTGACTCACAGTCCCTCAGCTGAATTCTGGGCATGTCCGAGCAGAGAGCTTGTTTAAGACGAGTGAGGTACTATGGTGAGGATGTGGCAACATTGGCACCGCCGTAGTTGCTGTATCTGAGCAAAAAACATGGAGGGGTACAGGCATGCTGTCATGGCTTTGCTGCGCATTGGCCTTCCCACTGCGCCTAGCACATTGCAAGTCCTTCCGGCTCAAATAGTTTTCTTTGTGGAAGTTTCAAGTTTGAAAACACTGACTGTCACGATCAGCTGTCACGCAAATGCAGATGAGCATGTGTGAGAGCGGAGCCACAAGATTTGAATCCAGACAATGGTGGTGCGTGGGCAGATGCAATCTGCTTCATGTTGCCCGCGGCATGATTTCCAGCTATTGCCTTACATGAGGCCAGCTTGCCAACGGTTTCTGTTAAGTTGAATTCGAGCAGAATTGATGCTGCCCAGAAGCGGTTTTCCTGAGAGACAAACAAAAGCTGCAAGAATGATGGGGCGCATCAAAATTGCCATAGTGAGCAGTGCAGAGGAACCAAACTGCAGGAGGGATTTCAATACGCCATGCCCTGGCTAAAGCCGTAAGGTTCCACAGCATGTGTGTGTTCCAATTCTTTACTTTCAGCGAACGCAGTACACCAAACAAGGTCTGATTCACTGATTGGGCTCACTGAGCACGAGTTGTGCTTATGTTGGGAATGGGCAGTTGCATGTCCCTCTCGTTCTTGCAGTGAACCTCAGGAGGATTTGACGCCATCCGCAGCTTGCCATGCTGGTGGCAAGCTCCTGATCGTATGACCATGTGAAGTGCCAGCGATTTCCCTGCGCAGAACCAATTCTGCCCGATCGCAGCTTTTCTTCTGAGTTCTGAGGCGCAGCTGAAGTCTGCGCACCGGCCTTATTTGAAGCAACGCTTTTGGACACAGGGCGCCTTGCGCTTGGAAGACGCTGCTCAATCCAGTTCAGTTCTCCTACGTTGCGAGCACTGAGCAGCTCCTGTCACAATGTGCACCTAGTGGCCGCAACACAAGACCAAGCAGCGAGGCAGCCAAGCTTACTGCATTTGCGCCGCATGAGCTAGCTTTGTGATGCCATGCGAGCCCTGTGATGGCAACGTCTCCGAAGAGGAGGCGCCTGTTTCGCCCAGTGGCTTTTCAACGTGTATGATTCTTGACTCCATTCGCAAGGCCATTGCTGCAAAGAAGCAGCAGGTGGAGTTTCCTCTTTCTAGGCCCCGATGGCAGCAAGATGCAGTGGCAAGCCAATGCCAGCTTGGAGCCTTGATTAGAGTCTAACCAAGCATCGGCCTGGGCGACGTGCAAGAAGACATGAAAGCACGACTTTCAGCAGAAATCATGAGAGCAGTCGCCTGCTCATTGCCCAGACAACCTAAGGGCCTGCAACATGTGACCTTCAGGAGCTCGTAGCCTCAATGCGTTACTTGGCTGAGCCTGCTTGGGCTTTAGACATTGAATGGTGTGGGGCTTGGACGGTTTGCTTGACAGTGCCAGGTCAAGCTACCAGCAGCCAAACAGCACTTTTCTACGTAAACGGTTTGCACAGCGCTTTGGCTGCTGGAGGCTTCAGCGCAGACCCTTGTGCAGCACTTGTGCCAGCATTGCGATTGTTTGCAGCGTGTCGATGGATTTGATGCCAGGCCACGATGCATCGGAAAAGGCATTTGCAGCTGGGGGAGTGGAGGCTGAACCTGTCGCATTCTTGCGGTTAATTGTTTTTCCCCCCCCCCTCCCCTTTTTTTCTTCTTTTTGTATTTTCCTCTTTTGTTTTCCTCTTTTTTTCCGCACCGGTTGCATTTTTAATGTGTTGCCTTCATTGCGGTCCTTCATTGTTTGCATCCAGGGATGCTGCAATGGCTTGCTGCCTGGATCCTGCTGCCTTACCTACATGCACGCCGATTGTGCATAATCTCCGTTTCTGGCGTGTTGAATGCTGCCTTCGTTTAAACTGTTGCTCACGCTCTTAACATAGGGATGGCAGTTGTCGAGCTCGCTGCGTGTATTGTGCGTGTTGAACTAATGCGTTGATTGCGCCTGCAGCTCTCATTAATGTTGTTGCAAGAAACTGCAAACATGGGGAGGGGTGGTAGTACGGTAAGGGGGTCGCTGTGTGCATTTTGCACATGTTTGGGCAGGGCGGGCTGGACTGCTTTGCCACGTACTGCTGACAGTCTTGGCCCGGTGCTAGCTGTACCAGTTTGGCCTTCCGGGATGGCGGACTGCGGGGCACGACGGGTACCTGGGAAGAGCACTTGTCAAGGCAGGCTGGCAAAAAGGGAAGCCTTCGCTCTTTTGGGGCAAACGTTGCCAAGTCTCGGTCTGCCCTTGCTCAAGTCCTACATTGCGATCGAGGCATCGGTTGCATTCATACGTAGCACCTTCATTCACTGCCGACGTTGTGCTGGCAGCGGGTTGTGTGCTTGTTCTTCCCCTTTTTACTTCGTTTCTTTCTCTGCTGTTACTGCGAACAAATCCAGCAACCATATGTTCATCACAAGCGTCGCTCGCGCTCGCTGCGCTGCGTTATTTTGCATCTCTGCATTTGTCGCGTGCTTTGCATTCGGCATATTTGGTGCGTTGCATGTGTGTTGCTTGCCCTCTTTGCACTTGGTTGCAGTATTTATGAAAATTACAAATGCAGTGAGGCCTCCGTCGAATTGCTCAACTCATGCTGCGCCTGGGCTGATTTCAGTAGGCTGTGTCTGGATGCTCGTTTGCCTTTCCACGCGTTCGTGCTGAGGCGAGGACGTCCTGGCCCGCACCATGGAAACACTTTGGCTTCTTGTTGATGACATCGACAGCTCCTTGCGCTGCAATGAATGCACTCAAGGCCTGCTTGTTCAGTTTGGAGCTGGCAACTGATTGAGGCTGTCAGCAACTGATGAAGCTCAATGGCCACCAGCGCCTCTGCCAGATCGCTCAACGCCACAGCCCAAGCCACCCTCACGTTGCAAGAGCTGCCTTCGTGCTGCTGGCGGATTCTCGGCCAAGTTATGCAGGGTAAAGGCGCATCTTTTGTAAAATGAGGGCATGGGTTTGGCACCAACTTTCAGTTGTTTCCGAGGAAACTCTCTACAGTGAATCCAGGCATGGAAACTGATGTGAGCAGCTGTGCAGCAGTTCTGTAGCTGAGGGGGCTTGATGTGTCTGAACATCAAGATGTTTTCCATGCAGGTCTTCCGTCATTTGGGACGATGGCTTGGATGGCCATTTTCTGGCGGATGCTTTGCGTTGGTCGATGGAAAGCCCCGGAGCTTGTGGCAATTCAGAGCAGCTGCCTTTCTATATGCACATAGTCGCGTAGTGTTTCAGGAGCCACCTCATTGGGATTTGTGTGCGATGTGACGGCGCTGTGGCTGCAGCGGACGCGCAGCTCAGAGGCTGGTTGCTTGAAAGCTTGCTTTTCTGAGCGCTTTGTTTGTTTCCGAGGCAGTCAAAGCCCTCATTGACACCATTCCCCTACTACTGAAGATCATGTCAGCCAGCCAAAGTGATGTGCCAAGGATGCAAATACGATCGTGAGAGTTTGCACTTGTTACGCCCTTGCACAAGAGCACAGGCAATGGTTCTTCAACATGGGTACCGTTTGCTGTGGGCCTTTGCCCATCAGTCTCGGACGTGGCCGGAGGCTGCTGTTGCAAGCTTCAGATCGCCAAAAGGTTGCCAATTCTATCCTGTTGCGCTTCCCCTGAAATGTTTTGCCAGGCTGTGAGACAGCCTGTTCTTGCGGCTCTGCAGCAGCTTCTTCGCAAGCAAGAGCTTCTAGGCGGCAAGCAAGCCCTGTCACGGGGCTTAAGTGCAGCACGCATCGGGAAGCGCGTCAATAGCGAGGCCATCCGCCATGTTGAGCCACTACAATGCAATGGCGCTGAAGGCAGGGTAGCCTAGCTTTCATTTCTGTTTCCCACCCAGCTTTTGCGAAGGCCGTCTCGGACCTGGCCGATGTGCCAGCCAGAGCCACAAAAGCGACCCTGGATGAATTGGACTAGGCGAGCAGGCGAGATAGCAAAAGGACGGCGCGCTGCGTTGCTTCTGCCCTGGCTTTGCTGTCTGACTTGGTTTCTACTTCTTGCACTCAGGGCCAAGCCTGTCCATTATGGCGACTTTAGTCCGTTGGCTTCCCAGATTCCATGCGTAGCCACTGAGAAACAGCGGCTCCTCCCAAGAAACACTTTGTTCGTGTAAGGTGCCTATCCAGCCGAGAAGGTGGAAAGCTGAGAGTTTGCCTGCGAATTCGCGTGCCACTCCCCAGCCAAAGGCCTATCTGCGACCGCGTCTGGGAAACTCGCGACGGCCCAAGCTAACTGCGCTTGGCCCATGTCGAACCTTACATACCTTGATGAACTAATTGGGCCTCGGCAGGGTGGAGCTGCACGAGTGCAAGGCCATTGGGGGGGAGCATGGCCAAGTGTTGCTTCAATGTGAGACACGTTCAGTGCCAACTTTTTGCGCATCTTTGCCCAAACCCTCGAGGGTCTCAAGGGCCTCGAGAGGATTTAAGTTTGAAGACCGGCGCCTGTCACTAGCTTGGCTCTCACCAGCTTGCAGTGCTCAGTCAACGCTAACACCCGTTGCAAGCTTCCAGCAGACTCAACTTCGCCAGAAGTCAAGTTTGCCAGTTCAAGTTGCATACCCCGCCACACACGCACACAGACAGACACACACACACAGCTCTCTGCTAAATGTGGAGCATGCCATGTCCTCACGCATTCAGCCTGTGAGCCGATGGCACCACTCGGCGCTTCCCGGGTTTCCTTCCTCCTCGTGCGCCACGCGGAGTGCGTGAATAATGTTTTTCCTCGGCAGGGTCCATTTGGGATGCTTGATCCGCCATTGACGGAGGCGGGGGGGAGCTCTATCTCCCTCTCTCTCACTCTCTCTTTCTCTTTCTCTCTCTCTTTCTCTTTCTCTTTATCTTTATCTTTCTCTTTCTCTTTCTCTTTCTCTTTCTCTTTCTCTTTGTCGTTCTCTTTCTCTTTCTCTCTTTTCTTTATCCTTTGCTCACATGTGTTTGTGATGGGCCTGCGTCTTGCCTTTGCAGGAGGGACGGTCTCAAGCTGCTAAAGCTACTGCCTGCTTGAGCAGCCGCTGGCCTGCATAAGCGGGGGCTAGCAAGCGCGTGAGGCAGGAGTGACACAGTGATGCGCTGGATTGAGGACTCGAGGAGCTGGACCTGGTTCTGAGCTCCAGGTTGCTACGGTCACAGGAGACTGCACTTCTGGCCTTCTCAGACAGCCCAGAGGTGACTTGAACGCTGTTGAGCTTTCACAAGCCTGTGCTTGCAAGCGCATGGCTCTGCTTGAGCTCCTCAGGTTTTGGTGGCGCCGTTCATCTCAGAGATAAACTGGGGACACAACTTTCTGCATCCGGGATCTCAGCCGCGGGCTGCGCTGGACCAGCAGCATTATTTGGAGGGCGAATTTGGTCAGATGGCATCCAGATGTGCCTCACCTATACACGACGTTTCGATAGGGAGTCAGCGCAGCTTTGCAGAGCGCAAGGTGTCAGATTCAATGAGACGATGGGCCCTCCAGATTGGGAGATGTTTCTTCGTTGGTTGAGTGGACAAAGGCTGGGGCCTAGAGACTGGCTTGGCACATCCTTTTGTGCCAGTTGCCAGGTTTGTGCAGGTGGCATTGGAGAAGCCTCACGCCACGTTTGCGGTCGGCAACTGAAGTTATACGCTTTGTTTTTGTTTTTGGATCGTTTTTGCCTACCGAGGTTGTTTCACACGGTGACTTTATGCAGCGCCTGCTGGAAGCACACGGCTGGACAGCTGGCCATCCGCTCCACACGGAGGCCTTGTCACGAGTTTGTCTTCGACCCCTCTGTATGGCGTTTGTACATTGCTCAAGACCCTTCAGATCTTGCAGTCAAGCGGCAAAAACAAGTCAGGCGCTGTCACCCCACAGTAAATAACTCTGTATCTTAAGCGGCCTGGGTGTAATGCCTTGTCAGTTCAATCCTCATGTATCCAAGGCCACATGCAGTGACCTGAGGTGGTCAGGTTGATGATGAGCGTAGAACGCCTGCCTTCGGGGCAGGCTTCAGGCTTCAGCAATTTGCAGATTATTGGCGCTGTATGTCCGGGTTTTGCGGCAGCTGCGTCCGGCACTAGTTGGATGATTTCGGCCGCTTGTTTCTTGGTTATTTTGGCCCTTGCCATCGCGGGCTGCTTTTGCAAGAGGCGCCCAGTGAACGCAACTTGGCGCCCGTCCATGTTTGAACTGCAGCTACCGAATCGCAGGGCACGGAGGAGTACTTGAAATATTTGAGCCGACTGAGCCGCTTGAGGGCGTGTCCAACAAACAGGGGTCCTGGCACTATTCGACCCGTGCCTTGTATCTCTTTTGCAGGCAGTGGAGCGACTCCAGGCGGGTTGCGCTTGTCCAAGAGGCATTGTTTTTCGTGATGTGCTGCCAGCAGTGGGCTCGTGCCATTTGCAGCTCAAAGGATGCAAAACTAGGCCGAGTTGTCAAGCCATGCTTTCGTAAAGCGAAAGAATGGACGAGGCACGCAAGTTCAAGATTTTGCAAGCTTTCGTGCCAAGCCCAAGGGTGCCTGTCAGGCAGCGAGGAGCATTCTACAATGGTGAGCATCACTGGTACGGTTCCATGCTTACCGCTGGCAAATGCGCAGGTTGAAGTCAAGAGTTGCAGCCAAGGCGGCAAGCGCGGCTTCAGCTGTTTCCTCTGTCGCGACGGTTGCTGCCCATGCCGCCATCTCTGCCAAGGCTGTGTGTGAATAACATGAGTCATATTGCTGCTCATGTCGTTGCAGGATCGAGCTGTGCAGGTGCCAGTTTGGATTGCTCTGCTTTTTGATCTTGACATATCTTGACACTCCTTTGTTGTATCTTGTTTGCAAGGTGATGCCTGCAGATGCCATTGGCCTGGCCCGCGAAGCTGGAGGAGCGGGCGCGATAAGCGTAAGCGCGTAAGCGACGCCTGGATCGCATGTTGGCCAAGTGGCTGAAGCATGAGACTGTGAGGGGTGAAAAACACATGCATGAGAGGAACATCGCTGGCTGCCGCCGACGCTTGCATTGAGAATGGCTAGGTATGACATGCTTGGTGGCCTCTCCTGGTCAGCTTTCGACTCTGTGCACTGAGGGCCACATAGCGAAGGGTGCTGCGGGCGCTGCGGGTGAGATTTGCCACCGGACAGGCCTGATCCTGCTATGGTCAGTGAGCTGTTTGGCTATGCCTCAGCTGAGGTGGAGTGGTTGAGCAGGCTGCGGGCCATGCAGCCGGTGCACTTCAAGGCAGAGCGTTTCGTGCGTTGATGGCTGGCACCTGCTTTGATGGCAGGTGCCCAGGAACTGTCAGCTTCTTGGTGGCAGGTTACGCTTTTGCACGACGCAAGCCCTACAAGTTGACAGACAAGAGAGGCCGCAAGAAGGAGTGTCGCACAGGCTCATCAGTTGCAGCTTGGGAAAGAGCGAATGGAGAAGATGGCGGACAACTTTGCGGACTTGCTGGAGGCAAGGTGTGACATGTTGAGCATTGTTTGTAACATTGTCATTTGGTGTTCGGCACATGCTTGGACATTGGACATGTTGCACTCTCATGGCAGGGTTTCTTGAAGCGCAAGCTGCAAAGCTTTGTCAAGATCTTTGTGAAGAAGATACCTGGTCTTCTGAAGACCGTGGCCCTTCTGCAAGGTCGTTTTCAGGATGAAACTGCAGGGCCATGCTTGCTTCATTGCTGGTTAGTGCATTGCTGCATTGCTGCTCAATCGAATCAGGCCACTGATGATGTGGAGATGCCAAAGTGTGTAAAGCGTGGAAAGGCCTGGGGCAAGTGACCTTTGCCCATGTCCACTCTCATGTTCTACAGGATGCGACAATTGATGCTGTATGGCCAGACATCGAGCAGGCCCAGCACATGGTTCCAACCACAAGTGTTGATGCATTCGACTGAGCTTCGGAGGAGATTATGTGGGACCTTGCGCTGAAGCTATGCAGCATTCTTTTTTGAACATTGTTTTGCTTTGAGGTCGACCCTTAGTGCCACTCTTCACCATTGACCGGGGCGTAGGTCGCAGAGCGGAGAGATCGGCACATCCAAGGATGATTGATGGCAGCGGTGAGGACGAGCATCCTAAGGATCGATTGCAGATTTTGTGGGCTCTTTTGACATCCACACTTGCAACAGGATTATCATGGCTGCATTGGCTGCCGAGCTTTCTTCAGATATCACTTGTACCCATATGATCGAGGCCGGGCAGTGCACTCAGAGAGACTCAGCACATGGCAGTGCCAAACCTGCGGATGAGGGCTATGGGGAAGCCTGAAAGATCCAGTATGGAATCTTGGCACTGACTTTGGCGGATGACTGTGCTAGGAATGTAGAGCACAGCCCTTAAGGGTTTCTGAACTGTGTCTACTTAGCTAATTCCTTCACCATTCAGGTACGATGTGTAAGTCTCACAGCACGGACTTGGGGCGGGGGTCGGGGTAGGATACGGGGGTGCGGTGCGGGGGTGCGGTACGGGCGGTACGCGGGGTACGGGGGGGGGGTACGGGGTACGGGGATACGGGGGGTCTGGCGGTGCAGGGTACGGTCCAGGGGACGGATCCGGGGTACGGGGGTGCGGTACAGGGTGCGGTACAGGGGTACGGGGGCACCGCACCCATCACACCCCTAGACTGTACCTGTCGCACCCCTCGTCCGTACCCCTCAACTGTACCTACCGCACCCATCAACCGTACCCAACGTACCCCTCGACCGCACCATTACCGTGACCGCACCACGGGCCGCACCCCCTTCCCACGACCCCACCAGAGCATGACTCTTAAATTTAGATGAGTTTGCTAATTGTAGGTCATAATCCCGATTCAAATGTGCACAAAATGCAAGCAAGTTGGACACCCAGCATATTCAGCGTTTGCAATAACAAGCCACACCAGTCAAACCAACTTCACGAATCGGGTGAATACCCCTGGCTCGATGGCTCTGGAACCCAATCCGCATCTGACGCTGAGCGGCAACTGTTTAGCAGCGTGAAGAGGGCAGCCACCGTTGATTTGGCCGCGCCAAAGCTGCCGGCCATTTTTGACCCTGAACTTCCGAAGGACGCTTTACCAAGGCTTCTATTTACAGCCATTGCGTTGCTGCCCATTTATGGCATCAGTCCCTGCGCCCGCTTCTCAGAAGCCCGGCGTGTGCGTCCGAAGCAGGAGCACCACTTTCTTTGGACTCAGGTGTTTCTGCTTATTTTTTTGATCATCGACAAGACGGACGAGTTTCAGCTTGTCTCTTTCATACTGCAGTTCAAGGACTCGGGTGTGACCTTAGAGCTGTGCGCACCATAGTGTTCAACACAACGACTTGCCTGACACCACGACGGCAGGGATTTCAGTACCTCACGCAGGGTGTTCTTCGAAGTTTGGTTGGTCCTCGCCTTGGCACGCATCTTTTGCAGAATGGCAGCGCATGCCAATCACCAAGCTGCACTGCGACTTGATTGGGCTGTCCGGGATGGCAAGATGCGTTGAGGTTACTTCCTATTCCTGAGCTGTGTGACATCTCCGGGCAGCCAAGAGCATTTCTGTGCTCAGAGTGGCCCAGGAAGCGCGGCACCCATGATTCTTGTTGTGGTGCCTTGGCTAACTTCTTGCTTGCCAGCCCTTTGAGTTCGGAGCTTGGCGCCCAATTGCCGAGGTGGGATTCGGACTTCAAACTGTTTTGGCTTGGAGCCTTGCCGCGAGATTTTGTGCACATTTCAAAGGTGAGCGGCAAGACGACGTTTTCGAGTTCTGAATTGTGTCAGAGTTCTATTGCTGTGAAGCGTGATCTGCAAATTCAGGATCGCCTTTCTGCTGCTGCCTTGTTCGTCAAAAAGAGGGCGCGGCACTCTGAAGGGCCATTTGGATGCTTGCCAGCATTCAGCTGGGGTTGCACATGTTGTGCCACTGCTTCATTCTCACTCCCCTGCCTTGCTCAGGACCATGTTGAGACCGGATCTGCCAAGCTTCAGGGAGGATACATTCGTTTCCAGGCAACATTTCTGCAGGCTGTTGTTCCCAAGCTTGTGCAGCAAGCATTGACAGCATTTTGCAAGTGCAGATGTAGCATTTTCTGTAGCTGTGACAGCTAAGTCTATTTGCTGGGGTATGATTTGACTACCTTTGCTATTTCCGTGGCGGCGCTATTGTACACTCTGTACCTTCGCAACTGGATGATCGAAGACTGGCCAGTGAAGCATGTCGCTTGGAATGAGTCAGATTTAAGAGTTCAGTGCTTCGTTTGCATCTGAGGCTTTCTATACGATTCAGATGGTGCACGGGCTTTTGTCCATGCCATTCTTTTTCTTCATGATTCCTTTTCTCAGGCGAGACCTACGCGCAGACAACGCAATCAATTCCTGAAGTGAGTGCCTGTATGCAGGAATGTCCTCCTCCATTCAGCCTGGCGCTTGGCACAAAGGATTGTTATCACTCCCACACGAAGAACACGCATTCACATAATCGTTAATTGGTTGTGCCAGAATTTGCTTTCATGGTGCAACTGGTGTGGTATGGTTGCTTCGATGCATAGAGCTCTTTGCAAGGCACCGACGGCATACGATAGATTTGGCCGGTGCAGACGATACCAAGGGCCTGAGAGGTGCACGCCGAGGAACATCTCTGGGAACGTCCCCTTGCAACCGCTAGGCCTCGCGATCCAAAAGGTGGTGCTGGATTGCCAGCACGTATGCTCGAAAAGGCGGAGGTGGGGGCTCGAATCTGGCGCTTGGTACAACATCAGCTGGCATGCAAGACCGGAAGGCTCTACGCGTACTGGAGAATCTCAAAAGCTTGCTGGCTGGTGGGCGTGTGCAATCCCTGGGTGAGGAGGGCACTCAGAAATTGTCTCGCTGGTCCGAAAAAGAAGCTACATTTGCTTGCAATCAGGCAGACATGTTGAATTCGATGCCTCG